GGACACTGATGCAAATTAAGTCGCTCAGTACTTGGCATAATTTCTTTTCTTTCCCCTGAAGAGGATCGATTCATAGATCGAAACGTCGGGACTGCTTTAGTTTTTTGAAATAAACTTTTACCTTTTTCCAACCTCGTTCCCAGGCCTCGTTCCCAGGGCTCTCTCACGCAGAGGAGAGAAGACCTTGCCGTTGGCTGGTCAAATAGAGGGTTTGATTGGTTTACCCGATCCTGAATTTTGATTGGTTGTTGCTTTGTTATGATTTTTTGGCGCGCCAGGGCACGCCTGAGCGAGAAATATAATGACAGATTTAAACAAAATGTAGGTAAGACTGRAAGTAATAATACGAAAATAGCGCTGAAAATCTCAGAAAGGCTTGCTATTTAAATGAAATTTTGTTATCTAAATGTAATCTCGTACGTCCAAAAGTGATGGAGGAAGGAGAAACGCCAAAGAAAGTTTACTACAGACAGGAAGAAAAAAGATCATCATCCATATCTGTTTGTAGTCCGTGTGGGAATAAAGTCGAAAGTCGCCACTTACTACGAGTTTTTGGTAAATCTGAACTTACAAAAGAAATAGCGACCAAAGTGTTGTTTAACTACWTGTGGTGTAAGAATCGAAGAAGCCGATTCCGTTCATGATATCCCTCGTTATATGACACAATATTTGGTTTATGTAGGTAACGTCCAGATTTTGAGAAATTATGCGACAACTAAAAAGGGCACCATATCAAAATAAAACCAATGAAAAGTCTGATCTTGATAAAACTTATATTAAAATAAATTTTATTTTATTAACTATGTCTCTGGAAAAATAATGATTGCAGTCCTTCTACAACGCGAGATACAGCGGATTCAGTTCAGGTGGTTGTGAGTTTTGGAAGACTGGTTGTCCGCATTTTCTTTTGATTTTCTTTTGTGTTTTGGCGGTGTATTACAATTTATTACACCTTAGTTATTACACTTTGTTTCACGGGTTTTTGAAAACCACTCTAAACCCATGAAATACACTTTAGCTTAGTTAGTACTATCACAATCTGTTTTTGTTTCATCTGACTATAACATTAGTACACTTTGTTTCATGGGTTTATGAAAAAAACTCTATACCAAGTAATCTAGTAGTTATATTCAAAACTAAAGTCTACTTTTTTCCCTTTTTTGAGTTGAAAAATTAACTGTGGTTTTTGTAAAACTCACTCCAGTATTACCTTCCCTTGGAAAACTGAATTTGGGACTATTTTGCACGGTTTTTTTCAAACTGAAATATGGAAAACGAGAATGGTGACGCCTATGTTTTTCATCAATCATAGTCATCAAATTACTCTGATAGATTTAGTAGTCAAGCTTATTAGTAGTAAACTTCTAATATTATTCTATGTACGACTCGTTGTAAAAAAAAGTACTTTAAACATGGCTTTTAAATTACAACTTTTGGTTACTAGTACATCTCGCTATAAATTGATATATTTGAAGAGCATCTAGGCAGGGATTTATTGCAGTTTCTAAATGTCCATTACATAAGTAATATACATGCAAAGCGTAAAAGTGCTATTTACTTACTGCTGACTCTATTGTTGACCAATCATAGCACAGCATTTTTAAGGTAATTAAAATGGTTGTCTTGGAAACATTTGGTCTAAACTTTTTACATCAAGAAAAATGTCTTGCTCCTTTAACGTCATTAGCACAGTCTCTGCTATTGCTCGATCATATTTTGAAATCTTGCTAAATTCGCATTTTTGAACGCTCGCGGAAAAAGATAGAATAAAATAAAAAAATTAAAGTAGAAAAAAACGTCAGCACCAGGAACATTTTTTCAACATATTTCTTAGAATGGTTCATATTTTCATAGAAAAACGTTGATATAAAGGTCATAGGCACTATATATATTAGCATTTTATGCTTTAAAGAGAATACATACTGTATGCCTACAGGTTTAAACTTATGGCAAGCAAAACGTTCTTTCATTTACAATTTCTCTTTACGATGGCGATAGAAGCTAAGTACATAGAGGATACATGGGCGCGCGGAGATACGATTTTACCTTCGAGTAAATTGAACACGAGAAGATAAAATTCGTATCTCCAAGCGGCCATGTAATGTTCTGTTTATTATATAAATATCGATGAAACTTAATTAAAACAAAAGCTCAAAAAATTTTATTATTAAATACGTTACTATGTCAACAGCGATATCTTCACGTGTGAAGATATGGTGTATCTTCCACAGGTGAAAGATATCAAGTTTTCGACACTAGAGAAAACCTGGTATTTCATCGATATCTATATAATAAAGTTTTCTCTCCCACTTTAACTTCAATTGAAATCCTTTTCTGCATGCAACTAACTTCATGCGCTAATATATCACAAGGATCATCATCATCATCAATATTGTTATTGGATTATCAAATTTCTACTTCACAAACCACACACCAGAAGACGTACAGACCAATATCTGTCCATCATTCAACACTGCCATAGATACAGGATTCTTGATTTCATCAACTGACTTGCCAGCAAAACGGCCATCCAGGGTGAATTTCTGGACACGATTATTACCAGAATCACACACTAGTAGATGATGGTCATTATCAATAGCCAGGCCCCATGGTCTACTCAGCTGACCATCATTACTGCCGTATCCACCAATCGTCGATATTCTAGTCGGTACTTTACCTTCTCAAATACGTGAATAACATGATTATAATGATCACTGACGTAAAACAGTCCATCATGCGTTATCACATCAATCGGATCAAAGTTGTCCTTTCTTGTCAAACCAAACTGATATTGATAGTCACAGTCTCTTGAGAAGACTTGAACAAGATGATTATCACGATCACACACAATGATGTTATCATCGTCATCAACGTGTACTCCATTTGGATAAAAATACTCGTCATATACGCTACGTTCGTTACCGAAAGTTTTGATCAAATTCCCTGTTAAAGTGTTGACTACACCTATTCTATGATTTCCCCAGTCTGCTATGACTAAATCTGTATCATTCAGGAATGCTAAATTGTCGGGACCATGAAAATGACAATGTTCCTCTACACTCTCTTCACAATCATAACTCAGTATGAGATCTCCATTAGTCTTAAATACGTGGACGTTGCAGTCTGTAATAGTTGATAGCTGATAGTCACTGGAGTTGAAAGAAGTTTCACAGTTGTCTTCATCTTGTACAGATCTAGCGCCTATAGCGAGCCTGCTGTTGTCCCTGTTCACTGCTATCATACCTGTTAAACAATTGTGAGTATCAGGCACACCTTTCATTTCAAACAATCCTGTTACTCTCATCTGTGGAGGCTTCACATTAGATACATGATTATCATTCACTTGAACCTCTGCTGTCAGTTGACTATCTACTTCTACTTTTCCTTCTATTTCCACGTCATCGTCATCTGTTTCTGAATGCGTCTGTATTTCTCCTAGACCTTTTTTCCTATTTGTTGCACCAGCTCTTGGTTAGGAATAAAGACAATTCTTGATAACAGTGGAATTGGGTTAAAGATGAATTTCTCCAAACATTGTGTCTCTTGAATGTTGATCATTTCACTTGCCAGTCCTTTTTCGATCATATTCTTGATGTATTCCTCGACTGCTGGAATATGGGGAATTATATTCAAGTTTGTTGTGGCTGTGTCGAACTTCTCATCTATTTGTCTGAGTAGTTCTCGTTCATTTTCTTGTAGGATTTGGATCATTTTCTTGGTCTTTTCCTTCACTTCATGTCTTGCTTTTTCTCCTCGTTATTTGATAGTTTTAGCGATTTTTTCTTGTTGCTGTTGTTCCTTTTCATCTAATTTCAACTGCTCTAGCACTTGCAGATGCTTTGACAATACATCTTTCTTGATCGAAGCAAACTTATCTAATGACATCGTCTTATGATCCTTGTGATTATGTTTCCAGCATGCCACACAAATCATGTCATCACAGTCTTCACAGAATGACTAGCCTGTGATGAGGGTGACTTTTACAAGGATTTTCTCTCGTTATTATGAACTCAATATCTTCTTTCTTCAAATCAGCAAGACGATCGACCTTGTGATCTTTGGTAAACTCTGAATGGTTCTTCTTGCATTCTTCGCACATCGAGCGATCACAGTCAAAACAATACCAAGAAGCTGAGGAATGACTCTTAGAAACAGAACAAACCTTTTCTCCTTCTACCAACGCCAGACCCTTCAAGATTCTTGAATGCAGTGAACTTGGCTGTAGATCTTCCACGCTGCTTGGTTCTGGTAGAGGAGTTTGTGATTTACATCGAGGACACTTGAAGACGTTGACTTGGTCGATCAGCTCGGCGTGTCTTTTGATGCACGGCTTACAAAATGTATGGAAGCATGGAAGAACCTTAGGTTCAGTGAATGTATCATTACACAAGGAGCAATAGACGTCCTTCTTCAGATTAACGAGGAGAGATTCCATCTTTTCTTGAGGGATGGAGCTGTCGACTTCTCGACCCGTCTACTACAGCAGTATGGAGCAGGCGTTCCTGGTTATTGATGAAGAGGATTGGGGCGAAGCAAAGGCAGCCCAAGCTCAGTTTTAAGGGGGATAAATGAAATTTGCATAAAAATATTATTCTGGATTTACCAAGTGGTTTGATCTGTTGTATTATTACTATTTTTAATTAAATTTCAAAAGCTACAAAACAAAGCAGGTAGAGTTTTTACCATTCCATGTTTACAGAAGGTGTCAGTGTTACCTCATATTCACTGAGAGATCTACTAGCTATTCCATTCTAAGCCCAGCATCATCTCAAAAACAGCTTTGGTTACAGTGGTGCGGTAATTTGTAATAGTCTTCCGGCAAGCAAGCACTCTAAATGGTTTTAAAGCGGCCTGCAGTAAGATTTTCAGATATTTTATGATATATAGTTAATAGTAGGGGCCCAGTTAAGCACGGCTCTCATGGAAATCAGGTACATCTCTACATAAAGTATGTTTTAGGTTATATATATATATATATATATACACACACAGCCGTTTGCAAAAATTATGGCCGCTTCAATTATACATACAAGTATATCAAAAGTATATCAGACACGGCGGAATATATTTCTTGATATTATTAAAGAGTATATAGTATTGTTTTATTATTATTATGATTTGTCAAAACCTGATGAGATATATGTGGATAAATATAAAGTATTATTATTATTATATGCTTATTTCAACTTCAGACATTATTATTATTATTATTATTATTATTAAGTTCTTCTCACCTGTGTTTCAAGGTACCAGTACCTTGATACACAGAGGATATTACAGTTACCTAACCCCTGATACAATATTATCAGGATTGATTCTACTTGAAGTGAATAGTTGAATGGTAAATTTTTTCTTCATTTGAATTTTGTGTCTTTAAGTTATGAAGGTTTATTATTGCAGTATGTTTAGGCTGCGGCGTCATAAACAGTATTAAAGCATCATCAATATATGATATTCTGCTGGCAAGGCTCACATCATGCTTTTGCATTCAAGGCACGGATAATAGCCAGGCTAATAGCTGACTGAATATTGTCATATTCATTAATTAATGATTCATTAAGGTGAGACCCAATGAAATCGCACGATTTGGGTCACATGTGAGCAATTTAAACCACATACAGCTCAGCTAATTAGTATTCTGTATCAGAATCAGTTAAGGAGGATGTTTGGTAATGAAATTACTAAGTCAGTAAATTTAAGACTTCCCAGAGCCTTTGCCGTCAAAAGCTAGTCCCACCTCGATCTTTAGATTAAAGAACCTGGACCTTGCTATGTTAACCTACACATTATAATCAATGTGGGATGCCAGTACCAAACAATGTTAAATCATGCTCCTTAAAGGCATCATGCAGATGTATTTTCTTAAATTACATTTCTTTTGGAAATCTATTCTACAGAAATCATTATCTTCATTAAAGATGAACACTATTGCAAGTCATTTACATTTATATTTGTATTTGTGTCGTATCCTCCATACAATTACTTGCCTCCAGCTTATTATGGTATCTGCCGATACCACATGGCTGCTCATCATATCATAAACATTATTTCATTTATCCGAATAGACTTTTACAGCATTAATGTTTAAAAATTGCTTTTCACTGACTCAATCTTTTTTCAACCAAGCAAAGCCAAGCAAACATTTCTTGAATATCCACATTCTACCTTAAACAGGACACCACACCATATGCATAAGAAGTAACCAATATCTGACCATCATTCAAAACAGTTATATATACAGGATCCTTGATTTCATCCAATGTCTTGCATACGAAACGACCATCGAGGGTGAATTTCTGAACACGATTGTTCTTACGATCACAAACCAACAAATGATTGTTATTATCAATAGCCAGTCCCAATGGTTCACTCAGCTGACCATCAGCACTGCCATACCCACCAATCTTTGATATTCTAGTTGGACATGGTACAGTACCTTTCTTCTCAAACACATGAATGAAGTGATTATTATAATCACTGACATAAAATAGTCCATCATATGTTACCACATCAACTGGATCAAAGTTGTTGTTTGTTGTCAAACCAAACTGATATTGATAGTCACCGTCTCTTGTGAAGACTTGAACACGATGATTTTTACGATCACACACAAAGATGTTGCCATGTTCATCAATATGTACTCCACAGGGTTGATTGAACTGTTTATTCTTGTAACCATGGCTACCGAATGTCTTAATCGATGTCCCTGTTGCAGTGTTCACTATACATATTCTATGATTATCCCAGTCTGCTATGGCTAAATCTGTATCATTCAGAAATGCTAAACCTTCGGAAACATTTAACTGTCCCTGTGAACCACCTTCACTACCATATGCCAGTAAGAGATCTCCATTAGTCTTAAATACATAGACACAGGGAGAAGAAGGAAAAGAGACAGCAATCCTGCCATTGTCTCTATTTACTGCTATACCTGCCAATCTCAGAGAGTTAATATCCACACCTTTCATGTTAAACTGTCCTGTTATTCTCATCTGTTGAGGCTTGACATTCACCACTAGTGGACTGTTAGACACATGATTCCCATTCACTTGAACCTCTGCTGTCAACTGACCAGCTACTTTAGCCATGAATTCAACTTCTATTCTCCCAGCAGTTCTCACATCTTTCTCCTCTATTTCCACGTGATCTCTAGGGCTGATGTGGATGTCTACCACATCACCTGTATTAATGCTATCCTGTCCTGTTGATGTTTTGGTTGTCAATACGAGCTTTTGTTGCCTTGCAGCTTCTGGCTCACCTTCCACCAGAATAGTGCTCATCGTATGGTCGGTTTCAAAATGCGTCTGTAATACTCCAAGGCCTGTTTCTATTTGTTGCACCAGCTCTTTGTTAGGAATAAAGACTATTCTTGATGACAGTGGAATTGGGTTAAAGATGAATTTCTCCGAGCACTGTGTCTCTTGAATATTGATCATTTCACTTGCCAGTCCTTTTTCCATCACATTTTTTATGTATTCCTCGACTGCTGAAATATGGTGAATTATGTTCAAATTTCTTGTGCCTGAGTTTAACTTCTTATCAATTTGTCTAAGCAGTTTCCTTTCCTTTCCTTGTAGCATCTGGATCATTTTATTTGTTGTATCTTTTACAACTTCCTTGGCCTTTTCTCCTTGTTGTTTGATTGTTTTGGCAATGTTTTCTTGTTGTTGATTTTCCTTGTCATCTAATCTCAACTGCTCTAGTACCCGCAAATGCTTTGACAATACATCTTTCTTGATCGAAGCAAACTTATCTAATGACATCGTCTTATGATCCTTGTGATCGTGTTTCCAGCATGTCACACAAATCATGTCATCACAGTCTTCACAGAATGACTCTAGCCTGTGATGCGGGTGACTTTTACAAGGATTTTCTCTTGTTATTATGAACTCCATATCTTCTTCCTTCAAATCAGCCAGACAAACGACCTTGTGATCTTTGATAAACTCTGAATGGTTCTTCTTGCATTCTTCACACATCGAGCGATCACAGTCAAAACAATACCAAGAAGCTGAGGAATGACTCTCAGAAACAGAACAAACCTTTTCTCCTTCTACCAACGCAAGACCCTTCAAGATTCTTGAATGCAGTGAGCTTGGCTGTAGATCTTCCACGCTGCTTGGTTCTGGTAGAGGAGTTTGTGATTTACATCGAGGACACTTGAAGACGTTGACTTCCTCGATCAGCTCGGCGTGTCTTTTGATACAAGGCTTACAAAATGTATGGAAGCATAAAAGAACCTTAGGTTCAGTGAATGTATCATTACACAAGGAACACTCCACGTGCTTCTTCAGATCGACAAGGAAAGATTCCATAATTTGAGGGATGGCCCTTATCTCGACTGCTTCTCGTCGACTGCTCATCGACTTTAGAGCATTTATTGCAGCAGGCGTTCCTGGCTACGGATGAAGAGAATTAGTGCGAGGCATAGGCAGCCCAATCTCAGTTTTAGAGGGATCATGAAGGCTGAATAAAGATTGTATTACAACATTGTAATTTGTATAGAAATATTGAAATAAAAACAACTGAATTTACCTGATGTTTTGATTTGTTGTATTATTACCTTTTTATTGAACTGCGGCTATTTCAGAGTTTTTCTGATATTTTTAAGTTTTCCTCTATAATGGATATTCCTTTGTCATGAATAATTAATGAGCATTTAGACTTATCAGGACCTTTTTGTACCCGATAAAGAAACTCGACAATCTAAAAAGCCCGGGAGCGGTTTTGATTTCGGGCCCAGGGGAAATCGGGGCTGATTGTGCTGATGAATAAGTGCTCACTGAACCGGAACACATAGAGAACTCTTGGTCACCAAACTGGAATGTTTACAGAACTCTTGCCTATTCAACTGGAACGTATAGAACACTGAGTTTTAGAAGCAATTTAGAAAATTCGTGGTCGTTATGTATCGGAGATATAGATCCTCGCCTTCGCCTCGGATCTATAACTACCGATACAAAACGACCACTCATATTCTAAACATTACCTAGTCCGTTACCCGGCACCAGCGCGATAAATTAAGCGTCCAATTCCGCAGCCCATGCCTTTTCTCACATTCCACCCCACCCCCGGGATAACTAGTGACAATCTTATTCGCAGGCACAAATACCAGTCTTAAGAATATATCATACTTCGTTCATATGGTCTTGGAGGACTCGAGAGCGCCCCACCCTTCTCCCCGCAGCGATGACCAATCCTTTTCCCGGCTTAGCCTCCTCCGCAGGCAACTCTATAAACTCTCACCATAGTTAATAGAGGGGAATGGTTAGGAAACCTATTGTTATCAGGTCTTTGTTCGCTTTTGATGTTGAACCGGTCTTGACGGTGCACAATGTTTGATTTATGTACATCCGAAATTGCAAAATAAGTAAACATAAACTTTGTGTACGGGATTGGTGTAAGGAATATTCAAATATCTCTTATAAATCTTTAAGTATTTTGAACTAAAAGCCAAAAGAAAGATTTTGGTCTGTTCGCTCAGCCATTGCCAACAATGGTAAAACAATGGTAAAACAAAGGATTGTGCACTGTCACGCTTGAAAAAAGTGAACAAAGACATATAACAATAGGTTTCATAACCATTCCCCTCTATTAACTATGCTCTCACATACTATATCTCTCTAGCGAGCGGGCTTTTCCAGCGAAAACCGAGAGTACTGGAGAGAGTACTCCCCCCTCGTCTGGTTTTTTGTTTCTTCGTTCCCAGACTCCGGCTCATTAATAGCTAGAGAAACTAGAGAAAGCCACAGAGATGCCTGCGGAGGAGGCTATGCCCGGTTGAGGTCGCTGCTTTCTGTCGCCTCCGGAATCGGCTATCCCATATCTTAATCAGCATGGTCCAATAGGACGCTTGGAGTGATGGTGACGGGTGAGAATATATTACTATCTCCATACCTTACTATTCAGCCCCATCGACTTGAACGAATGTCAGCCGTGATTCAAATTTATCCGTAAAGTAAACGAAATCTTACTGCGAGGCCTGGAAATGATACGTAAACCCCATCCACAACCTCATGAAGGAAAGACACGTTGTCTGGAATGAGCGGTACATTACTCCCAAGTGGATTTGGTCCATTTATAACAAATAAACTTCCTATATTATCGCTACCCGGTAGCTCAGTTGGTAAGAGCGTCGGTCTGTTGTGCGTGTTGGTCGTGGTACGTTCAAGCCTTGGCCGGACCAACACTCTCAAATAACTGAGGAGAAGGTGCTGCCTTTGTACATACCTGCTAATGGTTAGACCTTCAAGTCTTCTCGGATAAGGACTTAAAACTGTAGGCCCTGTCTCTCAACCCTTCCTAACCTGCAGTAAGATGTAATGGGGGGATCCTGTTGAATTATATTCGTTAAGAGTAGGGGACTGTCTCTCGATTCAACAGTCTTTCCCAATCTGGAGGCATAATACTAACATACTAACAAACCGTTTCCCAGTCTCACGCGACCAACTAGAGCTTCATCCCAAACCAAGCGAAAAATTGAGCTTTCGTGGACGTCAATCAAAAGGGTTTCTATGGCAGCAGGACGTGAATACTCACGTATGAAGCACACGTAAACACAGATGCGAAGGTGCAATTAATCACCGTTCTTTGACCTTACTACGAAAATCCCCGAACTGTGAGATAGGCCTGAGATTTGTTATGAGAGTCATGCCCACTTTTGTATGATTGCCCCACGGGTTTAGAGTGAAGTCATTAGTAGACCCTAATTCCATTGTCTTCTTTTGTGTCTATTTGCCTATTATATTACACGTCGACAATAAAGTATTTTATATTTCACCGTTTCAATGAGTTCACTCTATTAGTATTCTCAAATAGAGAATACTGTCTAACCACAGGGAGCCCACATCAACAATGTTCAGTGTCCTGTGTACGTTGATGCCAGAAATGGTCGTTATTAAACTTTTTCAGTTTAAAACTTAAGAATCCTTAATCATCTAAGATACACGAAAGTCGCAAATTTAATTGGTCATCGCTGCGTTCGTTGCTCGTATTTGCTATATTTATTTATTATGAAGAAGTTAAACAATAACAATATCAAGCATATTTTATTGTCTTTATCAGAATGCGGTGCTGATAAACAGCGGTTTAAATGCGGCAAATTAATAACTAAAACCCCTTAATCTCTCAACTACCTAAGATTCCATCACACCACAAATCTACTTTGGTTTGAAGTTAAAGATGATTTCTAAGTAAAGGATCGTTATTCAATTAAATTAATGTTAACTGACTACGAGCGCACAAAGAAAAAATCGTGCGAGAAAGCTAAAACTAGAAACAGAACGGAAGTAAAAATTTCCACTTCCGTCCCCCTTACCCCTTAATTACCGGGAATTTTATGTAACGCATTATTCAATTGATAGTTCATCAGAAGTTAAAGACAAAACATTAGTTTTTTTACTATCCGCAGTGTATTTGCAATGGATTATTTGTAGAACTTGATTGATTGAAATTGTGAAATTGTCCAAGTATTGTTTACTCACAGTAAAGTCTTACTTTGGGGTTCTTAACGTTTTGATAAGCGGCGCACTTCGCTTTTATCAAGAACGTTCTCCCATGTTTTAATAGAATGTTTGAGGAGCAGGTCATCTGGTAGATCAGACACATCAGTTGCTTCACGATTATCCATGTGCCATTCAAAAAACTCTTTGAGGCTATATACAAAAAAACAAAAAAAAAAACAAAAAAAAACAAAACAGCAATATTAATATATTGAAAACATCATTTGGTTTGTCCCTAAGTAACAAAACAAATTGTATTATCGTTATCGTTATCATTATC